AGATATGTTAAGATAGAGACTAGGTTCAATTTTTAGGTGATTTTGATGATACAGGTATGACAGCCATCTACCTTTCTGAATTTTATAATAAATGATTAAATCCTAAACCTTTCTAATCATATGTTAAATACTATGATACTAGGCAGAGATCATAGTAATTTTGATTGATATTAGTAAAGACAGGAAAAATAATCAACTAAAAAGTACCTGTAGCTAAAAGTGATTTCTCTATTCAAAGTTGACAGTGATTCTAAGATCTAGTAATCTTGAAGGCTAGTTTTTTAGAAGGTTATTCTGAATGGCAATTCTTAGACCAGTATCTATCAATAAAATTAAGGCTGATAATTAAGTCTATCAAAATCTTTTTAGTATAGGTTAAGATAATATAAGATTACAAGACTTGTGTATACTGTTCTTTTACTATAAAGACTATCTGATATATTGAGTATTACAAAAAGGAAAAAAATATGTAAAAGAATAACCTTTAATCTTCTAATATCTTAATAATTAAATAATAAAAAAATTTATTTCTTTAATAATTAATGAACACTTATTTGACAGTAAATACAAAAGTATGTTAAATGAATATTTGAATAAAAACATCTAATAAAACTATGTTAAAATGTATATTTAATTAATATTAGTAAATATCTGTTACCTATGTCAACAATTAATTACACTTTGGATATCAGTGCTATATATCAATAATCAATAATTTTAAATATAATTGTTTTACTGTAAAAATATAATTTCTTGTAACTCACGTAATATTATACAAATATTCTAAAAAAAAAATTTGTGTAACTGATTTGAGACTTTCAAATTTTACTAGAAGACAAAATTGCCTTTTTATATTTATGTAATATATCACAATTCTATGATTAATTTATATAAAATAATCTAAATGTAACATTTTATGACCATCAACATTTTTAAATATATAGATTTTATTATAAAAATTAAGAAACTTATAAAATAAAATAATCAAACAAAGGTCTAATAATAAAGAATAATAAGGAAGATTAAAGTATATACAAAAGAATATAATTAAAAAATGGAATAAATAGATATAACAATAGAAGATTAATTGGAACTTGATAATAATATAAAATTTATAACAGAGAAAATTTGACTAATTTAAAATTGAAGATTAAAAAAAAAGAATAACAATAAATAAGAGATATTGAAGACTTTGTAATTATAAAAAATGAAGATGATACAATTATAAAATTAAAGAATATAAGAATATTAAGAAACAATAATAATGATAATATTTAAATAATAAAAATAGATTAGAAAAAAATAATATGTAAATAAATAAAGATGAAAAATAGTTAAACTGAAACAAATAGAAATAAATGTAATTAAAATTCTTAGATAAATAAAAATTAATTTGTAAAATAAATTTACTTGAAGACAAGTGATAGAAATGGTTTAAGAAGATACAGCTCTTGTTAAACTATCAAACTCAGAAAATGTTGATAATTTATATAATTAGAATTTTAATGGTTACAGCATTATATATTAAGATAAATATCATATACTGAGTTAATTGATATATTAAGAGGTTAAACATTAATTACAAATAAAAATTTATGTTATTTTAAATATAGATTTATTAAAAATTACATTATTTTATATTTTTAAGTTATATATTTAATATTGATAATACCTTAAAAATAATTAATAATAAAGATTAAGATTTAAATTTTGATATAAATTAATTTATTTGTTAACCTAAATCTTTGTTAAATCTTAAACTAAAATTATTAATATTTAATATTAAAATAAATTGAACTAAAAATAAATTTTAATAATATTGAAACTACTACTTTTGAAGTTTCTTAATTTTTGTTAAATAAATCTGATAATTTTAATGAATTTTAATTATTAACAAGAATAAAATAATAAATTTTTTAATAAAATTTCTTAATTTATAATATATTTTTAATTAAAATTATTCTAATAAGAATAAATTTTTATTATTATTTAAGTAATTTAAAGAATTTGATTTATTTTTACACTTAAAAGATCTTATATTTTGAAGTCTTAATTAATATTTAAAAAAATTATGATGTTTTTTTATAACATTCAAAAAAATTTCTAACAATTATATTAATATACCTAATTCATTTGATTTTAATGATGCTAATTAATTAATTATTATTAAATTTACAAATAATTCTATTTAAGAGAATTATTTTAATAAACAAAGAGATTATTAAAAAGAATATAAAAGACTTGCAACTATTTTAATAATAGATAGAATTGAAAGTATATTTAAAAGTATTGTAAATTGTATATTATATATTTTTTTTAATTTATTAATACATTTTTTTAGTATATAATACTATTGATACAAATATATCTAATATTTATTTTTATAAGAAATTTTACATTGCTTAAATTATTTTAATATATAAAAGTGAAGTAAATAATATGCTTAAATAAATAGAAATATTAAATTTCTAGATTATCTATCTTATTTTCCAATTAAAATTTACTTGAATTTTTATAAAAATCTTTGAACAGATATATGTGAAGCAGAAGGAAAATTAGTTGCTTACATTTTAGCTAAAAAAGTCTTATATTATTTTAATTCACTTCCTTTTATTAATTTTTAAAGTTATATATTTATATCTATTTATAAAAAGATCTTAAAAAACTTATTTTTAAAGCAAAATCACATAAATGTAAAAAAAGTAATTATCCAAAAAGAACATATGATAATCTATCTATTTTTTAAATAATAAGAGTAATAAGTATAATATTTTGTAATAGTTAACTATAGAATAAAGTAATTCAATTATAGTTACATATAATTTTTAAAATGATAATGATTTATATATAGAAGGGTTTCTAAGAAAATCAGGTTTTGAGAAATTTTTAACTAAAATTAAGAGCTTAATATATTTTAATCTAATAATATCAAAAATTAAAATTCCTGGAACCTGATTTTTTTAGCAATCAATCCATATAATATATCTAATACTTAATATATATAATTGAATAAAAACTAAAATGCATGACTAAAATCTGATAATTTAGTATTATAGATGAGGGATGAAACATCCATTTTAGACTGAAACCTTATCCTAATTTTGAAATGCAGTAAAATGCTATTTGTTAGTCATTACTTAAATTATTACAGTATTTGAATAAATATCTGATTAGTCAAACAGAAAAACTTTTAATCTCTTAATAATAGTCAAAACTTAGATGAAACTATATTAAAATTATAATAAAAGATACTACAAAATCCATTCAATACAATGAAAGCTAAAACTGTTAAAACTATATTAAAAATATAGAAAAGAGTATGAAGAAATTATTTTGAGAAGGTTTTGGCAGACATCTATATTTAGTATAAAGTAGTATATATAATAATATTAGTTAAATAGCTATTAATTTTATCTAAAAAATTAAGGCTTAAAAGATTATTCAAATAAAAACTATAATCTTAATTTACCTATCTAAATTATCTTAAAATATCTTGAATTAAATTATTTATATTAGTAAAATAATATTATTATTTAATAGAACTTTTTTATCTATGATTTTTCTAAGCTGATTAATCTTATTTTCTAGCTTATGCAGTTATTCTTATTAGAATAATGCTCTTTCAAAAGATTGTTTGAAGAATATTAAAAGAAGTTATCTTATATTTATAAGTAATAATTATATTATCTTATTAAGAGATAATTTTATAATAAGTTTATCTCTTGATAAAAAGTATTAATTTTTTTTGATATAATTATTTACAGATATTTTATTATTTAACTCTTTATTTGTATTTAGAATATTATAAAAATGCAAAAAAATTATTTTAAGTTTTGCAAGATATTGAATTTAATTTTAGTTTAGTTAAAATATATAATTATCTTAAAAAATAATATATGTATCAATTTTATAAGCTTAATTTTTCATGTAAATTTTAATAATAATATTCTATTTATAAAAGTTCTTTAAGGTATTTTATGCTATATACTTTATTTTTAAATTAGAAAATGAGTTTATAAATTTACACTTAATATAGTTAATTTTACTAGTTATACAAAATGAATTTATTCTTTAATTAAATGTAATCTTACTAGTATAATTAAAGAATTTGAAAACTTTTTAACTCTTGTGAATATCTATTTATCTAATTTAAATTTAAAGTTTTTATGATAAATAAGATATTGAATTTTAAGGTAAAGTTGTATTAAAATTAAAATAGCTAATTTTAAAGATTTATAAAGTTATATTTTAAATACATTGTATTAATTCAAAATATAAAATGAAATAAAAGAATTATTAATATTAATTTCAACTAAATAAATTATAAAAATTATTAAATATAAATCTGATAATAAACATCAAGAAGATTTTGATTTTATTTTTTATCTTAGAGTTATATAAGAAAATATAAAAATTATTTAAAATCTAATATAAATCCTTCTAATGATTCTGAAATAGAATTTAATCAATATTTAGAATTTTTAAATTTATTATTAAAGAAGACTATATTATAAATAAATCTAATAATAATAATAATCTAAAAATAATAATGATTTTAAAATATTTAAAAATTATATATCATTAGATTACAAGCTATTTTAAAATCTACTAAATACAAATCAATTGGTAATAACTGATTTTTGTAAATTTTATTTTAGATCATATTATTTCAAATAAGATTCAATATTATGAGTCTGCAATTAAAGCTTTGATAAAATTTATAAAATTAGTTTTAATAGAAATCTAAAATAATAAATTTAAGAACTTTTTAAATTTAAAATTAAGTATTCCTAAAAATAAGCATCTTAAAATATACTATATTTCTTCAAAAATAAGCAATTCCCAGAAATAAGCAACTCTTAAAATAAAATAATACTTGAAAATAAACAACACAGTGATCATTTTTCACTGTGCGGCTTGTGCGCGTCACACAGTTTTATAAATTTATGCACATCTTTCCAAAAAAAGTATGCACCACTCCGCACAAAAAAAATTTTATAATGCCGCACATTGCGCACAATTTTACACAATTTCGCACAGTTACGCACAGTTATACAAAGTTATATAAATGTAAATTGACCATAAAATGTTTTACAACATGATCTGATGATATATAATTAACTAATTAAGAAGTTTATTTAACAAAATTTTATATTTAAAATCAAATTTTTCATAATGAAAAGATTTTTTTCAACTCAGCAAGCTCAAAAAGGCAAGCAAAACAGTCCGAATCTCATGGTGAAGCTTCATCTAGTGAAAGACCAGATTTAACAAAACCATCTGAAGTAAAACGTCGCAAAACTAGAAATAGCCCTGATCTAAAATGGATAGATAATGGAAATAGTGCATAGTTAGAATATAAAGATGTATATAAAGTAGTATTAATGTTTTGTAGATGATGCGAAGTGAAAAAATACACAAATGAGCTTGCAAAAGAAATAAGTAATTACCGAAAACAAAGTATTAATCGATATCTTGCTCATCATGAATATAAAGCAGAAGCAGAGGCAAGAAAATCCAATCAAAGTAATTTAGTAGTTACATTTTTATGTCAATTAGATGCAAATAAAATTAAAGTTATAACACAAATGCAATGTATTTACTTTACGGTAAAAAAATATATAGCACTTTCAATTTATCCTAATTTATATCAATTGGTAGATTTTCATAAAAAAAATTCACAAACTATGAATCTTTGTGATACTTCTGAAGCATTACAACTACCATCACTTTCCTCAAAAAATTTATCATCAGAATCAAGTGAATATGGTTCACATTTATCAAACACATCAGCAAAAGATTTTGAGGAAGCAATTGTTTATGTAATTGAAAAAGCATTATGTGAAGAAATAAAAGTTTCAAACAATTGGAGCATTATGATTGACAAAACTAATTCAATTACAGACGAAAAGCATTTAGCTATTGTTTCACAACATATTTCTCACAATGTTCCAGTTATACGATACTTAGAAATAATTGATTTAGATGAACTCAATGCTGATGCAATTACATTAAATTTAAAAAATTTTATTATCGCTAAAGGACTAGAAATAAAAAATATATTACATTTTGGTAGTGACGGAGCTGCTATATTAATTGGCACAAAGACAGGCGTTGTTAGGCAATTTCAAAATGTTAATCCTTTTATTACATCTGTGCATTGTATAGCATATAGACTACATTTAGCTGGAAAAGATGCGGCAAAAAATGTACCTTATTTTAATCATTATAAAAGTTATGTGAAAAGATTATATAATTATTTTATAGGTTCTTATTGACGTATGCAAAATCTGAAAATGATACAAGATGCGTTAGAGGATCCTCAATTATGTATTCTTAATATAGTCAATATAAGGTGATTATCAATATCTAATAGCGTGAAAAATCCACATCAAATATTGGATTCGATAATAGATGCATTACATTATGATGCTGAATTTGGCAAAAAAAAATCAAATCAGAATCTAACTAAGAATTTACTTGAAGAATTAGATTATGAATTCATTATTTCTACTAAATATCTTGCAGATTTAATGTTTATATTAACAAAATTAATCAATATATTTCAAAAGGAATATGTTAGTTTTGCAGATATTAAAATTTATTTAGATGCTATATATGATGCAATAACTGCTCAGTTTATTAGAATTGATGGATCTACTCCTTCGTATGGAACTCATTTATATAAACATATGCAAGAAAATAATATTTTACCAGAAAATTTATCAAAATTTATTAAAAGTTTTTCTAAATCAATTATTAATAGTATAAAATTAAGATTTCTCCAATCTAATTTGTATTATTCTTTTCACATCTTTGATCCAAAACTATTACCTATTAGAGAAAGTGAATTAGGAAGTTATGGTAACGAAAATATTAAAAAACTTGCTGATTTTTATGGAGTAGACAAATTGGATAATAATGGAAATATGATAGAAAAAATAATTGATGGTGATGAAGTAAAACTAGAATAGACAACGGTAAAATATTATATAAAACAAATAAGAGATCAAAATATAGTAGGTGGTTAGGAATATATTTTTAATATGTATTCAGATTTCTTCGATCAGTATCCAAATATTGTTAATTTAGTTAGAATATCATTAATTATTCCTTTATCAAATGCACAGGTTGAAAGGATATTCTCTCAACACAAACTTATCAAAACTAGATTAAGAAATAGAATGTGCGTTGAATCATTAAATCAACATTTAATGATCTTACTTAATAGACCAGATGATTTTCGTAAATTTGATTAGAATAAAGCATATGATCATTGGGCAATGAAATTATGTCAGTCAAATTGATTTTTATAGCCTTTGTAGATATTTGTAAATATTTTTGAACAATTTTTTTTTTTTTGTAATTTCTTGATTTTTGATTTGAAATTTTAAATAAACATAATTTTAATATTAAATATTAGCACACAGTGCTTTTATAAATTTAGACGCATATATGTCACAGCGGTAACAGCCACACATTATTTATAAATTTGCCACACAAAATGATATATAAATTGTGCGTCATTCGCACAACAATTTATATTTGAAAAATTATCACTGAAACAACACATTAAATATTTAACTAGTTTATATTAAAACTATATATAATGTATAAGAATATTTTAAATAATAAAATAAGCTTAAATAAACTAAAAAAAATATGTTTTATTAATGAATTTTATAAAATAATTGTTTGCATTAATTTTAATACAATTAAATATATTAATTACTTTTATTATTAATAACTTCACTTTTATTATTATCACTATCATTATTTGATTCATTTAAATCAATTGAAAATTTTATAAGTCTTAAAAAATTCTATGATTATTTCATCATAGATTACTTTTCAAGTAAACTTATCTATAAGTATACATTATTCAATCTAGTATAACGAAGATTTCTATGATAGTTTTTACAGTATCTTTACTTACCATCCAAGTTTATCATTCTTTACAAAAGTTGTTTTTGAATAGTCTATTATTAAAATATCTAGGAGTTAATAAATGCTTATTAAACTACCTAAAATTATTGCTAAATTGAATCTGCTTTCATAAAATTTTTTTTGATAGATTTTTTTAAATGACCTTTAAATGAATCATATACTAATATTATTAAATTTCTTTAAGTGCTATTGTTTATCCTTATATTATTGAAGTAATCAATTATACTTTACCATTAAATTTGAATTTATCTAACCATTTTTTTAAAACTAAACTATAATACCAGAAGGAATATATTCACTATATAGTATTCATTTCTTTTGAAAGTACAGATTAGAGGTAGTTTAGTCTTATCTATAAATTTAAAATTTAATAAATTTGATTTAAAGTAGATATAATAAATATTTATTTTAATAAAAATACTTATAATATATATTAAAATAATAGTGAACTAATTTTTTTCATTATTTATTGTATAAATATGAATTATTTTTTCATTCTTTAGATAAAATTTTAGCCATATTGAACTAAATAAAATTTTGTTTATATTAAAGATATTCTTTATTTAAAAAGAATTTTTGATCTTAAGATTAATTATAAATTAATTAAATTTCTTTATATATTTTTGAAAGTTTTTGAAATATTCTTATATATCTTTTTAGTGCAATTTGTATCATTTTAAGAATATTTTTAACCAATAATAAGAGAGTTCTTTTTTTATATAGCTGTAAGAGATTTTTATTTTTTTTTAAAGGTTTATTTTATTTATTAATAGATTCATTAAGTTGTTTCTTTGAGTTTACTTTTGACATTATGCAAAGAAATAACAAGTAAAAAATAAAAATATGTAAAAAAAAATTTATAAAATACAAGAAATAATATATAATACAAATATTTATTTATTATTAATTTTATTAAAAAAACTAGATATAGAGAATTAAAATATCACATTATATTTATAGGAAGTAGAAATTTTAAGTGAAAGTAAAAAATATTTGGGATGTTAAAAGACACATTCAATTAAATTATTTTCAGGTTTGAATAAAACTTAATAAAATTCATTTTAAGCAAAACTTTATTATATTAAAAAAAATTCGTTATAAAATAATTCATTATAAAAAGAATCATTTTATATATAAATTTTTACTGATTTTAATTTGTTAAATGTAATATGAATTTTTAATTAACAAATTTGATATAATAAGATTTTTTTTATATTTAAAAATCTGTTTAATACTAAAAATTTATTATATTATAAAATTTGTAATATCAAAATTTACTATAAAAGTATTAACTATAATTAGAATATAGTACAATAACTAAAATATAATATAATAGCTAAAATCCAATATAATAATTAGAATATTATATGATAACTAAAAGTGATATAATAATAAAAATATAATATAAAAATACAAATTATAAATAAATCATAAGATCTAAAAATATAATCAAAAATTTATGAATATAAATATCACATAAAAGCTCAGATAAAAGAAACTAACAAATTAAAACAATAAAACACTTATATAATTTATATTACAAAAAAGGAAATTAATGAAAATATGAATACAAAAAAAAGATAAAATTATTATATAAATTAAAGAAACAGAAGGAAATGAAGTAATAATTAATAAAAAAAAATTTAAAATAGAAATAATAATGATATTATAAGAATATGTAATAATAATATATAATAAGATATATAATGACTTTTAGAATTATAAATGAAAAAGTAAACATAAAAATAGATTAAAAAAGAAAATAGAAATTAGAATAGAAATAAAATTAAAAATAAAAATAATATAGAAATTAGAATTTGTAATTAAAAGAAATGAAAATAAAATCTGAAAATAAAATTGACATAATATTAAAAATTAATAATAAAGGAAATAAAGATTAAAGATTATTAAAAAAGAAAAAATCTACAAATTGATTAATATTAAAATTTATATAATAAAATAGTAATTTTATTATATAAATCACTTACATTATATTATAAAATTATAATAATAAAAAGAAATTATACTTAATTTAATATTTAGAAAAAATAATAGGAAAAAATATAATTTTATTTAATACTTTATGAAATAATATATAATTAATGATAATACCAACATATAATATAAATAATGATAATAACATAATATATAATTGATGATGATAATAATATATAATATATAATAGATAATAAAAATGATACATGATAGAATTAATAATAATAATAAAATAATTGAATGAAAGGTTTAAAATATATTTTTAAGTAAAATAAAATAATTAAGAAAATAAATTATAAGAAATAAAAAAAAGAAAACCTATAATATAAAATCTCTATAATAGAAACTTTACTATAGTAAAAATTAAAATACAAAAAAAATAAATTATATAAAAAATTAAAAATTTAAT